GCCTGCGGCGGGGGCGCTTTCTGAAAAGAAAGCTATCCGCGAGCGCAAAGAGGCGAGACTCATGCTCTCGCAGTGGGAGCATGACGTCTCAGTGAGCGCGGCTTCTGCGTGGGATTTCCCCAGACATCGCACGCATTCACTGTGCCCGTCATCAGCGTGCAGTGGTGTCCTGCACGAGCCACAGCCATGGCGCGACATTTGCAACAACGTCGCAGGAAATTTGCTCAGAAATTTTGCTCTTTTTTTGTTACCTCAAGAAGGAAAGCGTCAACACAGGCGCTCTGCAGACGGGTCGTGAGCGAAGCGCTGACTGGGGCTGCCTTGAGAGCGATGCGGGAACAGAGCTGATTGAAGCGGCGATCTGATCCGGTGCTGCAAAGCGGCGCGCTGATCAGTGCTGCTTGAAAGCGGCGAGCTGCAAGCGGTGAGCAGAGGCGGCGAGCTGATCTTGCTGCTGCAGAACGGCGGCTGGATCAGCTTGCAGGCGAAGGCTTCAAATCTCGTAGAATCAGCGAAGAGCAGTAGATGTCTTCGCTGAAGGAGAAAGAATCAGTGATCCTATACCGAGCACCTTATATAGCTTATATAGCCAGATGCCCCACCCATTTTGGCGGGCTCGGGCGCACTGCTTCGCCGTCCTTGGTTCATTTCTGAAACAATGGTAGTGCAGATGCACTGCTGTGATTGAAAAAAAGGCTTCAGTAAATCGGAGAAATGGAGTTTCCCGTAGCGTCTAGCGACGCAGTATGAAGTGAAGTATCGAAAGGGAACTAGTATATTTCCTAGATGGCAGGTGACTACATTTAAAATTATTTTTGTACACTGTTGCAATACCTCCACCTCTTCCAGAAGTTCTAGGCGAATTCAAAAATAGATAATTAAAGGACAAAGTTCAGACAAAGGACTTAAGTCCAACGCATCAAGACAAGTTTCAGTCACAAAAAGGAAGTCCAAGTTATTTGATGAACAGTAATCATTTAAAATAAAAGTTTTATTCACCATGGACCTCGCATTTATTAACGCCATCTTAACTGAGATGGTGTTATCAACTAGTGGAAAATTCATGCACTTGTCTCGTTTGAGCGATCGAAGATTGCTGACATTTACTTCTCCATTCCGATGACGCGAAAGCCGTTGGCCACGCCGATAAGCTGGAAGCATCCCGTTAGGCTCAACAGGAACCAACCATGAGCGTCTTAATTCCCCAAAGATGGAATAGTCCATATGCGGGACCAAACAATTCCTTTGGGAGGCCCAAAATTGTTTATATTTAATCAGAAGTCCTCCTCGTTTCTCACGTTTTTTACGACCTTTCTTCCTTTGCTGGGAACACCGTCAGCTCCACAGGAAACAAAAGCAACACCGCGGAATGAGCGAAACTATGGTGACGAGCGTCCCGGGATCCCAATGCCAACATAGACGTCCGAATGCTTATAAGAGATTGACGATCGTAGCACAACATGGCTTTACCACTTGGCAGAGGGCCGCCAAAAGCACCCGGGTTGAACAGGTACATAATAGACATAAACAGGCAAATAAATTCCAAAGCCTGACGGCATACCGGCAAACACACTGGCGCCATCTTGGATTTTGTATGTGCATATCGCTATTCAGTGTTAGCTACGTTACGGAGCCTGCTTTAAGTTTCCTAGTCTCAGCTTAGTCTTGCCTTGTCTGTTTTCTCTATTCTGATCATTGCCTGTGTTTTTTGGATTTACCCTTTGGATTACCCTGTTTGGACTTTGTTCGCCAGAGATCAACCCCACGCCCGTTCACTTTACTATTCTTGTGTCTTGCCCTCAATATATCTGTTTGCCATCGTCTGACCCTCGCCTGTTTTGAGCACGTCCTTAAATAAAGCTTGCGAATGGATCCGCATGTCTCGCGTCTTGTTTGCCCATAACAGTAATAATGTGTAATGCATGCAGAATTTTTCGCATGCGTTCGTTTGACCCTTTATGTCAGTTTTAATAATCGACAACGATGAAAAGATAACGAAGTTTGTTTAAAAACAATAAAAACATTACAAAAAAAAACAAAACTACAAAACACTTAATAATGTACCTTTTTCACAAGTATTTTGTTTGTGTATGCCACCAATTACCCTTAATAATGTATAATGTATTTTCCATAAATATTTCTTTTGTGTATGGGGTTTTCAGTGCGTTGTTTGTCATAACATCAGGTGCATTTCTTTACTGTTGCAGAATGGAAAGCAAGCCAAACCTTCGTTTTGAGGCTGGAGAGCTGTTGCTGAGGCCATCTAAGTGGATGTTGGAGAATGATCTTGGTTACTCCCTCATGGTCCTGTCTGGGCATCAGCGGGAGCGCGAGACTGGCAGATTGGACAGAGGTGCCCTCTTGGCTAACAAAGATGCCTTTCTCAAGTATGCCTGCACATTCGAGAAGGTCGCAGAAGCCATCAAAGTGTGCAGGCAGAGAGAGGGAACGTTACCTGGCTGTGAGGGTGACTGTCTGGTGAGCTTTGGGGTCCACAGGAAGAGCACCTTCAAGGAGCTCTATGAGGCCAAGGACAGGGAGAGGAAAAGATTTAATTGTATTGCTGTTTTGTATGTATTTTACTCTTATCATTCATGTATATTATTTTGCTTCTTATGCAGCTATGTGTATGTCATCAGGAACCAGGACACCAGTGCAGGCAGCAAGATGGATGCCCTGAAGAAATACATCTTGCAGAGGGACCAGAAGAAAATTAGGGCTGAAGAGAGAAAAAAGTCATGCTCCGCATCTTTTGCATCCCAGCCTGTCCCGCACCCTTCACATCCAGCTTCTCCTCCTCCCACCCAAATAGGGTTGGGTATCATTTGAATTTGATCGATTCTGATTCTGCTTATCGATTCCTAGTTTAGATTCCAATAAGATAAAAAAATCCAATATAAAAAAAATTAAGTCAAACATTTATTCTGTCTTTTTACAAAGCATTCTGTTGCAGCTGAATAACACGAGCGTTTTTTTTCTCATCTGTTTAAGTTCACGTAAGACAAAAACGGCTGTGTTTATGATTATATACTGACGTAGTTTTCTGCATATTGGTCGACAAATATGAAAGAAGTCAGTTTCGGCCCGGAACAACCTTTTCTACAGTGGAAATACACGGAACGGTTCGAGAACGGACACAAACCGGGAACCCGTACCGCGACCTCTGTTCTCTGTGCTTGCACTTGCGCTTCGTGTGCGCTGCACGTTCTTTCCGTTCCTGCACTTAAATCATTTTTAATCACATTAAAATGCAAACACAGGAATCGTTAAGCAGAATCGAAATGCACGCGTCTTTTCGAATACCCAGTTCTTGGAAATTTGGAACCGGTTCTAAAATGGAACCGGTTTTCGATACCCAACCCTACACCCAAAGCTCCCATTTACAGCCAGCCACAGAACACGGTGTGTTTTTAGATCTATACCTGGCATAATTCTATGCATGTTCTAATGTAATTGTAAATAACATTGTCAATTTTCTGCACTCAGAGCCAACAGATGAAGATCTTCTGGCTTCAGCCATTGAGGTGGAGCCACAGGGTGAGTGTTTTGGTTTCTTTTGTGTGGAAAAAAAAATCATGCTCACCTGATCATATCTGATCACAGATACATTTAATAGCATCATATAGTATTATGTAACCATAAATGCCTATAAACTGAAAATAATTAAATCATTAGTACTAATTACAAAATTAAATGTGTTCTTCACAGTACTTCGACCACCACCACCACCTTCAATGCCGATCCGCTCACCTTGCTTGGAGCAAAGAGCTGCTCAAAGGCTGGTGTCAGCGGCTTCTGAGGTACAGTTTTCACACCAGAAGTGTGCTTATATATATATATATATATATATTTATTTATTTATTATTAAATTACTCATTTGTTATTATTCATATATAACATATTTTTGTGTGTATAGGTTGTTCTCCCTGAGGCCTGGAAGCACTCCTTTCCAAAGGAACAACACGAGTGGATCGGCCGCTCCCTCTTCCGAAACCAGGGTGGAAGGGCAGTGCTGACGGATAACCTGCAGATGTGGTGGTACCCTCCCCAGCCACGTCTGCAGTATCATCAGCCTCCAGCATCGCCGGACGTGTTCTTCACCTGGCCGCTGTGTTTGTGGATGCCCTACAGGATGTGGTCCTACAAGCTGATCTGCAGCTCACCACACTGCAGACGGTCCGGTCAGAGACTGACTGCTTGTGGGCTCTACAAGACAGTGAGGCGGGTGCTGAACTTACACGGCTGGTATTTTCTGGCAACGGAATACCTGGAGTGTCAGCGCTGCCATAAAAAGCTGGCCGCGTGGTCCTACGACATCCTGGACCAGCTGGATCCGGCTCACCGCAGGATGTTCCCAGCTATCCTCACTTACCGGGGAGTCATGAAAAAATTATTCTTATTGTAGGCAAAAATACATAGGCAGGTGCAATTAACTACTAAAATGTTACACCATTAACTAGGCTGTAATGGTAATAATGCAACTTAAATTACTTTAAAATAACATTTTAAAAATTTGAAAGTTTTTAAGTTTTTTCACAAGACACGGTGTCTGCCAGTCAAGGTTCTACTCAGAATGTGTGAACGACCCCCCCCC